AGCATCTGTTATTTTTTGACTTTTTAATAATAGTGATTCTGACTGGTGTGAGATGGTATCTCATTGTGGTTTTGATTTGTACTTCTCTAATGATCAGTGTTATTGAGCATTTTTTCATATGCTTTTTGGCCGAGTGTATATGTCTTCTTTTGAAAAGCATCTGTTCATGTCCTTTGCCCACTTTTTTTCTTTTTTTGAGATGGAGTCTCGCTCCCATCTAGGCTGGAGTGTAGTGGCATGATCTTGGCTCACTGCAACCTCTGCCTCCCAGGTTCAAGTGATTCTTGTGCCTCAGCCTCCCAAGTAGCTGGGATTACAGGCACACACCACCACACCCAGTTAACTTTTGTTTAGCAGAGACGGGGTTTCACCATGTTGGCCAGGCTGGTCTTGAACTCCTGACATCAAGTGATCCGCCTGCCTCATCCTCTTAAAGTGATTCTCCTGCCTCAGGCTCTCAAAGTGCTGGAATTATAGGCATGAGCCACTGTGCCCGCTTTTTGCCCACTTTTTAATGGGGTTTGTTTTTTCTTGTAAATTTAAGTTCCTTATAGATGCTGGATATTAGATCTTTGTCAGATGCATAGCTTGCAAATATTTTCTCCCATTCTGTAGGGTGTCTATTTACTATGTTGTTACTTTATTTTGTTGTGCAGAAGCTCTTAATAAGATCCCATTTGTCAATTTTTGGTTTTGCTGCAGTTGCTTTTGGTGTCTTCATCATGAAATGTTTCCCACTTCCTATGTCCGGAATGGTATTGCCTAGGTTGTCTTCCAGCGTTTTTATAGTTTTGAGTTTTATACTTCAGTATTTAATCCATCTTGAGTTGATTTTTGTATATGGTGTAAAAACCAGGTCCCATTTCAATCTTCTGCATATGGCTAGCCAGTTCTCATAACACCATGTATTGAATGAGGAGTCCTCGCCTTATTCCTTATTTTTGTTGGCTTTGCATAAGATCAGATGGCTGTGGTGTGTAGCCTTATTTGTGGGCTCTCTATTCTGTTCCTTTGGTCTATGTGCCTGTTTTTGTACCAGTACCATGCTGTTTGGGTTACCATAGCCTTGTTGTATAGTTTGAAGTCAGGTAATGTGATGCCTCCAGCTTTGGTTTGTTTGTTTGTTTGTTTGTTTGTTTGTTTTCCCCTTAAGATTGCTTTGGCTATTCAGGCTTTTTGATTCTGTATTAATTTTTAAATTGTTTTTCTAGTTCTGTGAAGAATATCATCGGTAGTTTGATAGAAATAGCATTGAATCTATAAATAGTTTTAGGCAGTATGGCCGTTTTAATGATATTGAGTCTTCCTATCCATGAGCATGAAACATATTTTCATTTCTTTGTGTCATGTCTGATTTTTTTTTTTTTTTTTTATCTAATAGCAATAGATTTATTAAGTATCCCTGAAAATATAAACACAAATCAGTAAAAAACAAATCCATAAAATGTCAGGCCTGGAGCTGCAATAAGACAGAGACAGGAGCAACACACACGTGTCCTAGGTGGGGAGGATGGGTGTAAATACTGCAGGAGGGTGGCAAGGGAGCCCTAGGGTGAGTGACAAGCTGGTGGGGGAAAGCTGGGGACGCTGTCCACAGCAAGATGGCTCTGGAGGTCAGACACTGCTGGCCTTGGCCCTGGCTGCCACCTGCCCCTCACTCCAGCTGCAAACAGCTTCACTTGGGGCCCTGGGCCTCCAACTCCTCCTCCTCATCTTCAAACATCTCACCCTCCTCCTCGGCGGTAGCGTCCTGGTACTGCTGGTACTCGGACACCAGGTCATTCACGTTGCTCTCTGCCTCAGTGATCTCCATCTCATCCATGCCCTCGCTCATATACCAGTGTAGGAAGGCCTTGCCCTGGAACATGGCCGTGAACTGCTCTGAGATGCTTGAGCAGTTCCTGGATGCCTGTGCTGTTGCCGATGAGGGTGGAGGACATCTTGAGGCTGGGGGGCGGGATGTCACACACATCCACCTTCATGTTGTTGGGGATCCACTCACAAAGTAGCTGCTGTTCTTGCTCTGGATGGATAGCATCTACTCGTCCACCTCCTTCATGGACATGTGGCCCCGGAACACGGTGGCCACTGTCAGGTAGCAGCCGTGGTACTGGTCGCAGGCAGTCATCATGTTCTTGGTGTTAAACATCTGCTGGATGAGCTCGGACACGGTCAGGGCCCGGTACTGCTGGCTGCCCAGGCTTCATGCTGGGCATGAAGAAGTGCAAGTGGGGGAAGGGCACCATGTTCACCACCAGCTTGTGCAGGTCCTCGTTGAGCTGGCCCGGGAAGCGCAAGGAGGTGGTAATCCCGCTCATGGTGGCCAACACCAGGTGGCAGAGGTCCCCATAGGTGGGCGTGGCCAGCCTGAGGGTGCAGACGCAGATGTCGTAGAGAACCTCCTTGTCTATGCAGTAGGTCTCACCTGTATTCTCCACCAGCTGGTGGATGGACAGCGTGGGGTTGTAGGGCTCCACCACCGTGTCTGACACCTTGGGCGAGGGAACTACGCTGAAGGTGTTCATGATGCGATCGGGATACTCCTCATGCACCTTGCTGATGAGTAGCGTGCCCATGCCCAAGGCTGTGCCCTCAGCCAGCGAGTGGGTCAGCTGGAAACCCTACAGACAGTCGCAGTTCTCACACTCCTTCCGCACATCCAGGACGGAATCCACCAGCTCCGCACCCTCTGTGTAGTGACCCCTGGCCCAGTTGTTGCCGGCCCCACTCTGACCAAAGATGAAATTGTCAGGCCTGAAAAAATGTCCAAAAGGCCCCGAGCGGACACTGTCCATGGTCCCGGCCTCCAGGTCGACCAGAATGGCCCGAGGCACATACTTGTGAGAAGAGGCCTCGTTGTAGTAGATGCTGATCCACTCCAGCTGCAAGTCCGAGTCCCCCACTTAGTTGCCGCTGGGGTCTATGCCATGCTCATCACTGATGACTTCCCAGAACTTGGCCCCGATCTAGTAGCCGCACTGGCCGCCCTGAATGTGCACGATCTCCCTCATGCTGGGCGCGTCTGGCACGCGGCTGCAGACGGGCATGGGGGCTGGGCTGGCTGCTGACATCTCTGATTTCTTTGAGTGGTGCTTTGCAATTCTCATTGTAGAGATCTTTCACCTCCCTGGTTAGCTGTATTCCTAGGCATTTTATTCTTTTTGTGGCAATCATGAATGGGATTTCACCCCTGATTTGGCTCTAGGCTTGACCATTGTTGGTGTGTAGGAATGCTAGTGATTTTTTACATTGGTTTTGTATCCCAAAACTTTGCTGAGATTGTTTATCAGCTGAAGGAGTTTTGGGCAAAACTGTGGGGTTTTCTAGTTATGAATCACATCATCTGCAAATAAGGATTGTTTGACTTCCTCTCTTCCTATTTGGATGTCCTTCATTTTGTTCTCTTTCTTGATTGCCCTGGTCAGGACTTCCAATACTATGTTGAATAGGAGTGGTGAGAGAGGGCACCCTTGTAGGAGTGGTGAGAGAGGGCACCCTTGTCTTGTACTGGTTTTCAAGGGGAATGTTTCCAGCATTTGCCCATCTAGTATGATGTTGGCCATGGGTTTGTCATAGATGTCTCTTACTATTTTGAAGTATGTTTCTTTAATACCTAGTTTATTGAGAGTTTTTAATATGAAGGAGTGTTGAACTTTATCGAAAGTCTTTTGTGCATCCATTGAGATAATAATGTGGCTTTAGTTTTATGTGATGAATCACATTTATTGATTTGCGTATGTTAAATCAACCTTGTATCCTGGGCTTGAAGCCTACTTGATCGTGGTGGATTCACTTTTTCATGGGCTGCTGGATTTGGTTTGCAAATACGTTGTTGAGGATTGTTTGCCTCAATGTTCATCAATGATAGTGGCCTAAAGCTTTTTTGTGTGTGTGTCTCTGCCAGGTTTTGGTATCAGGATGATGCTGGCCTCATAGAGTGAACTGGGGAGCAGTCCTGCCTCCTGAATTTTTTGGAATAGTTTTAATAGGAATGGTACCAGCTCCTCTTTGTACATCTGGTAGAATTTGGCTGTGAATACATCAGGTCCTGGGGTTTTTTTCTTTGTACGTCTGGTAGAATTTGGCTGTGAATACATCAGGTCCTGGTTTTTTTTTTTTTTTTTTGGTTGGTAGGCTATTCATTATTGATTCAACTTCGGAGCTCATTATTGGTCTATTCAGGGAATCAACTTCTTCCTGGTTCAATATCTGGTGTGGCATATGTATGTGTTCAGGAATTTATCCATCTCTTCTAGGTTTTCTAGTTTGTGTACATAGAGTTGTCCATGGTAGTCTCTGATGGTTATTTGTATTTCTGTGGGGTCAGTGGTAACATCCTGTTTGTCTTTTTTTTTTTTTTTTTTTTTTGTGACAGAGTCTCACTCTATTGCCCAGGTGGCACAACCTCCACTCACTGCAACCTCCACCTCCTTGGTTCAAGTGATTCTTGTGCCCTAGCCTTCCGAGTAGCTGGGACTACAGGTGCGTGCCACCATGCCCAGCTAATTTTTGTATTTTTAGTAGAGATGGGGTTTCACCATGTTGGCTAGGCTGGTCTCAAACTCCTGACCTCAAACAATCCACCCACCTCAGTTTCCCAAAGTGCTGGGATTACAGGGTGAGCCTCTGCACCCACCTCCCTTTGTCATTTCTAACTGTGTTTATTTTGATGTTCTCTGTTTTCTTCTTTATTAATCTAGCTAGCAGCCAATCCAACCATTTTCATCCAATTATAGGCTTTACCAAGGTAGAATGCTGTCCTGCCCAGGAGGGCAACCACTTTCGGAAGGCTCTGGAAAAACCTGATCCTCAGGTCAGTCTACCTGTGAGGATCTGGGGTATGCGTGGAGGGTCCTTCAGCCTTCCTCCTCCCCTGGGCCAAGAAGGAGAATGGAGAAAAGGTGCCTAACAGGTAGATCTTGCAGGGAGTAATCGCCCAAATCATCTCACTCAATGCATTGATGAGCTGATGGAAAATAGTTTCTTGCTTGTCTTCGCAGTCACTTATATAAGAAGAACCTTGATGTGACCAAGATCCGGAAGGGAAAGCCTCAGCAACTTCTCAGAGTGGACGAGCACGACTTCAGCATGAGGCCCGCCTTCGGAGGTAGGAATGTCCATCCTTTGTGCCAGGTGGGATGTTGGCCCCAGGGATGTGAGGTGCTGCCCTCTCTGGCTCCCTCTGGCACAGCCCTTCCTCAGACGCTGCAATTTTCCCACTCAGATAAACCCGACTCCACTTCCTGAGTCCCTAATTTTCTCAAGGAGAAAAGAGCAGGAAGTGGTGGAGAGGGCCGTTGACTAAAGATGGCCGGCCAGTGACTAAGCCATTCACATTCAAAAGGAGATGGACCCTGTGGCTGCCAACTTTTTTGTCCTACAAAAATAAGAGCAGGCAAGGGAATCAGGACACAAAATAGCTCCTCTGTCATTTTTATAGAGGAAGAGGCCCATGAAGGCAGAGGTGCCCAGGATCCTGAAAAGCCCTAGCATGGCCCTGTCGCTGCACTATTTTGGCACATGTATGTGTGTCTGGGTGTGGGTGGAATTCCAAACAAGGCATTGTAACTTTGTGGCCATGACTAGCTGGGAGATTACTGTTTTGATGGAGTCACCTGTTTTCCAAAGCAGCAACAACAGCTTAACGCATTACAAAGACTCCTCGCACAACTGCCCCCAAAGGTGCTCTGTTACTCTTGGGGTCAGGGAGGGGAGGCATGGCCAGTGGCTGTCCTTCCCAGGAACTAGAGAAATGCTATGGAGAAGGGGGGAAATGTCTTAGTCAGTTCTGGCTTTCACACAAAACGCCATAGGCTGGGCAGCTTAGAGACAATGGAAACGTATTTCTCATGGTTCCAGAGGCCGGAAGTAAGATCAAAGTGCCGACAGGTTCCATGTGTGGTGAGGTCCCACTTTCTGTTCATCTGTTCATAGACGGTGCCTTCTCACTGTAACCTCACATAGTGGGTGGGGCAAGGCAGTTCTCTGGGGCCTTTTTTTTTTCTTTGAGACAGTCTCGCTTTGTCACCCAGGCTGGAGTGCAGTGGCGCTGTCTCCTCCGCTCACTGCAAGCTCCGCCTCCCGGGTTTACGCCATTCTCCTGCCTCAGCCTCCCGAGTAGCTGGGACTACAGGCACTCACCACCACGCCCGGCTAATTTTTTTGTATTTTTAGTAGAGACGGGTTTCACCACGTTAGCCAGGATGGTCTCAATCTCCTGATCTCGTGATCCAACCGCCTTGACCTCCCAAAGTGCTGGATTGTAGGCGTGAGCCACTGTGCCCAGCCTGGGGCCTTTTTTATAAGAGCACTAATCCCACTGGTGAGGGCTCCACCCCTAGGGTCTCATCACCTTCCAAAGGGCCCACTTCCTAGTACCATTCTATTGCGGGTTAGGACTGCAACATACGCATTTGGCAGGGACATAAACATTCAGGCCGTAGCAGCTGGGAAAGGAGTCAGTCATCTGCTCTGACTAGGCAGAGAGTGGGGTAAGAGTAGCAGAATGTATGAGATCCCTGGGCCAACTTTTCTCTCCTCTTGGGGAAACTGAGGCCCCAAGAATTTCAGATGATGAACCTTGGCCAAGACAGACCCAGGCAGGCTGGCTTTCCTTTCTCCTTTTTCTCTGCCCTTGATCCTCTAGTAGGTCCCATCGTTCTGGGGCAGTAAAAAAGGAGTGGCGGTGACTCCCAGGCACGTCACCAATCCTTTGAGCCTCCATTTGTTTGTTTATAAAATGGGGAGAGTAATCCCCATGTATGGGGTTCTTGTCCAGATTAAACATGATAATGTATGTAAAGCCCCTGACAGACATTTGTTCCTGTCCCCTCTGAAAAACCCAGCTGTCAGATCTTCCTCTTGTGTGACTGTTAAGGGATTAAGAAATTAATTTATCCCAGAGGCCTATGCATTTTAAAAGGCCTCAAAGCCTCCCACTAAATTCCCTGAGCTCTGACACCTGCTAAGCAGAAGGAGAAAAGCAGGTGGCAGATTACAGGCCTGTGACTCATCTCCCTCCCAACCGCAACCTGATTGACGTCCACGGAAGGTCAAGAAGAGGCCACCATATTTCTGGTAGCTCTTGGGTTTCCTCGGGGGTTTGTCATGGGCAAGCCTGCCAAGGAATTTTACAAAAATAAAGTTATACTAATAAGCAGCTTTAAAATAGCTGCATCTGCTCCAGGAAGTCTGAGCAAGCCGTCCCCAAAAGCGGGAAGCTCCACTTTTCTTGCCCAGCAACAGTTGAGAGTACAGAGGGGTACAGTGGCTAGGAATCGCAATAACCAACAATAACATGCATGACAACTACCACTTTTTTTTTTTTTTTTTTGAGACAGAGTTTCACTTTGTCGCCTAGGCTGGAGTGCAGTGGCGCAATCTCAGCTCACTGCAACCTCTGCCTCTCAGGTTCAAGCGATTCTCCTCCCTCAGCCTCCTGAGTAGCTGGGATTGCAGGCATGTGCCACCATGCCTGGCTAATTTTTTTGCATTTTTAGTAGAGACAGGGTTTCACTATGTTGGTCAGGCTGGTCTTGAACTCCTGACCTCAAGTGATCCACCTGCCTCAGCCTCCCACACCCAGACACACACACATGTGCCAAAATAGTGCAGAGGCAGGGCCATGCTAGGACTTTTGACGATCCTGGGCACCTCTGCCTTCATGGGCCAATTCCTCTATAAAAATGACAGAGGAGCTATTTTGTGTCCTGATTAGGTAGTGTGCCCTGGTTAGAACCTCCAGGGGCACAGGGTTTCTCCTCCTTTTGTTAGGAGAAATGCTGCAATTCTGATTTTTATTTATTTTATTTTATTTATTTGAGACAGGGTGTCGCTCTGTTGCCCAGTCTGGAGTGCAGTGGCAGGATCAGAGCTTACTGCAGCCTCAACTGTCCAGGCTCAGGTGATCCTTCCACCTCAGCCTCCTGACTAGCTGGACCCAGGAAGTTGTGTGCCTGGGGCCCACAACAAAATGTTTTTGCTTTATCTTAAAATAAGAAAAACAAAGTGCTGGGATTACAGGCATGTGCCACTGTGCCCAGCCACAACTACCACTTTCATAGTGAGTTTTTTTGTGTGCCAGACACCGTTCTAATCAAGGTACATATATATATAATCTTATTTTAATCTTCTCATCAATTCTATGAAGTGGATACTATTATTGTACCCAGATGAGGAAACTGAGGCACAGAGAGGTAAAGTAAATGTCCCAGGTCAGCTGAGATTGGACCCCCCCGCCAAGCTGGGTCCCTTTCTTGTCTCCTACTTGCATGTCTCGAGGCAGAGCTGACATACCCATTAGGTGGCATAAGCACACTGCCTGGGGCCCACAATAAAATGTTTTTGCTTTATCTTAAAATAAGAAAAACATACTTTTAAGCAGAAGTTGTTTTAATATATACTATTAATATGTTCATCATTAAACCAACACAATTATAAAATATGTTTTTTTGATTTTTTTTTTTTATAGAGGAAGAGGCCCATGAAGTAAAAGTGCCCAGGGTCCTCAAAAGTCATAATGTGGCCGTGCCTCAGTGTGGTCTTTTGTGGGTGTGTACTGGGTGTGGGTGGTATTCCGAACAACATGTACCTTTTTACCCAAGGCTGGTGATGCTATCAGGAGCCTGGGCCATCACCTGGTCAGTACCTTCAGTATGTAGAAGAAGAGCCTGGGGTCCCAGGAGTTAGGTGATGGCCACAGAACAGCCAGAAGCAGAACTTAGGTTTCTTTTGTGACATCAGCTGCAAAACCGAAAGCCTTAGGAAAATACTCCCACCAGGAGCTAGCTCTCAGGAATTGCAGATGAAATCCTGCCATGTTCCCAGAAACCCTGACTCTGAGGAGAAATGCTGCAACACACCACAGTCCCCATCAGGCTGCTCCTTCCTCAAGCCAGTTCCAGGAGCAAAGTGGACTTCTTGCGGTTTGACCACTGCATCTTCTGGGCCCTTCTGCGGGGCCCTCCAGAGTGTGGAGGGTCAGGACTGCTCCCTGCCCCTGCCTGGGTAAGCTTCTGACCCTGGGCAGGGCTCTGACTTTGGGGGAGCTGCTAAGGAAAGAGGCATCACCTTCCATAGAAGTCAAGATCTCAGCCACACAGCATAGGTGGGGGCCACTCCTCCTTCCTTCCAGCCTCCTCCCCATGGCAGTTGGTCCTCTGGGCCCTTCTGATCTCCTGCAGGGCTTTCCTGGATGCCCAGATGTCAGTTGGATGAAATGGAGGGAGGAGAGCACATAGTGAGGTACCAGGGCTCCCTGCCTCCATGAGCCCATAAATAAGACACCCAGAGTTCTGGCCAGTCAGGCAAGATGGGATGATTGCAGGAACAATGATCTTTATAACCTGTACCCTATGGGAGCACCTGAAGGTGACTTAGAGACAAGAAACCTTCCCTGCAGGTGCTCCTGGGTGTCCCCATTTCACTCAGTGCCTCATGGGTAGGTCTCTGTGAGAAAGGAGGCTGCACAGACAGCACATAGGTGACTCTGTGCAGGTGATAGAAGGTGTCTAATTGCCTGGAAGCAGCCCCTGACAGGCTTCTAGTTAGAAGCAGAAACTGGGCCCAACCCACCCAAAGTGCGGGCCCAGCCTAACACCGCCTTCCAGTAGCACACACCACACTAAGCAGGTCATTTGAGCAATGATGTCCCTCAATAGCCTCAATACTGTTGTGGACTACGTCCTCATTCCCATCTTATTTCTCTAAGAGGGGCTTCCTATGGAATGGTGTTTAAAAGTACTTGATAGAGGCTGGGTGTGGTGGCTCACACTGTAATCCCAGCTTTTTGGGGGGTTGAGATGGGTGGATCACTTGAGGCTAGGAGTTTGAGACCAACCTGGCCAAAATGATGAAAACCCATCTCTATTAAAAATACAAAAATTAGCCTGGTGTGGTGGCACATGCCTGTAGTCCCAGCTACTTGCGTGGCTGAGGCATGAGAATTGCTTGAACTCAGGAGGTGGAGGTTGCAGTGAGCCAAGATTGCATCACTGGGCTCAATTGCTCCAGCCTGGGCAACTGAGTGAGACTCTGGCTCAAAAACAACAACAAAAAGTTGTCATGCTCAGTCTATACCCCAGACCAATTAAATCAGAATCTCTGGGG